TCACCTGGCGATCTCTCGTTGAGTCATCTTTCGTTTCAAAGTCACAACCTTTATCTTTGCTCCAGCAGAAACATTAGCCATAATTATAGTGCAAAGAAGCAAGTTAATGTTCAAATACAATGACTTATACTTAATAAGATGTAACAATTCCTACTTAAAAATTTGCATATTATCATGATCTTAGATCTTTCATTGGCCCGTTTTGCATACCCTTTTTTCAGATTCAAGCTGATTAAAGTGGTGTATCTTCTGTTACACGGTACAAACGAAAACGCAGCAACTTATTTTCCAGCCCTCGGAGGCTGCAATTGCCTCGCCCCTAAGCAAATTATTTGTCTTTTTGAGTGAACAATTTGCTTTCAAGAGTAATTCTTTAAAAAGGTGCACCTCTATTTAGGTGGTAAGTGCCTGGCGTCCGATCTATCCTCCGACATGACTCTCACAGCTCAATGGAGGAAAAACTCGCTCGTATCATTCAAACAAATCTAGTAACACTTCATCACCATCGAGCAGATCCTAAAGCTGCACCAACCCTGATGAGCGGTCATACCCACAATGATGCTCCTCCTTATCTCAAGCGCCTATGGATCTAAAGTTTACTCCAGATCTAAAATAGAACACATGAGTGTTTGTTTTCTTCTATCGCCCCAGAAAATACTTCTGCTACCAATACTCTATCGTTACAAGAATCAGATCAGACCAAGAATAGAGCATTGTTGCGATATCTGAGCTGCCCAACTAGAACAGAGTTCAAAGACGTTTACGCAGCCTGATCACTACAATTTAAATATATTTAAGACCAGGATCGACTGATATTTATCCTACATATCCTCATAATATGCATTTCTTACTTTCTCCTTCCCACTTTCTTACAACAATCTCACTTAGTAACACTCTACCTTCAGTGGTTCTTTGGTCCTGTATTGAGTGAATTAAAGTAAAAAATAATGGATATTCGTAATTATGCTAATTGGCACTGGAATTTTGAATATGCCGTATCTGACGATAAAGGCCAGCAGCAATGAAAAGTTGTTTAAAGTCGAAGATTCAAAGAGAGAAGTCAAACAGGAGTTGAAAGAGGCAATTAAAAGTATTTTACTGAAACAAATATTAAAAGAAGTGTGCTTCCTGCAGCTGAGAATTGGGGCTGGTAAGCAGTGAGTATTGTTAATGGAGTTGCAATGCAGATAACATATAACTAAATACAGAAACGTATCTACTACTACTCCAAGCAAGCTACTAGAAGAAGTCGATTCAAGAAAGTTCTACTTCACCACGTATGTCGGAGTGATTGCGTGATAATCCCTTTTTAACCCTGACATAAATAGAAACTTGCGACTGAAGCGTAAACACAAGTGTCAACTATCACAATCCAGAAAAAAAGCCGGAAGGGCAATGGTATACTGTTAAAAACGCAATCTCAAAATCTACCACCATGAACTTGCTAATCAACAAAATTAATGAACTAGCTTACATGTAATCGAAAATGAAATCAATTGGTGAAGGTAATCGTCAAATTGATGATAAAACGAACTGATATTTATTTTTACAACACTCGCAAGAAACATACAAGAAAGGGACCAGATATTATGTGAATGTAGTTTCATCCAGAGGCAGAAATGTACACATCATTGGAGCAATCAGTCAAACTTGGGAGAGTCAAAGAGGATTATTTACAAAGGACCAATACTGGGAATGGCTCAGAAACATTTCAAATGAAAAGATGAAGTTACTCAGACGGAATGGGATTACGCTACCTGGAAGATGCAGTCGGTTTAGCAATGTCTGCAATTAACCCACTACTAGACATAAAAAACATAAAAAACAAATATATTGCTTCACATTTCTCCAAATGTGGGGCAAAGTGTGAACTAGTTAATTTCAAATTATCTGTTCCATTGTTCCTTTGTTTGTCAATTAATACGGTTGTGGCGGACTTCACTACATTAATTTAACTTTAGATTAGACGCAGAAAAGGATAAGCCAAAGACATTGTTTACACATAAAATATGTATTTAAAAAGATGTACAATATCAAACAACGATGTGAAAGAAAGCATGTATTTAAATAAGAAAAGGTTGAAATAAAAAAAGAGTTGTCTCTCTTTAACTGTTATTTTAGTAGTTGAAAGTTCACTGGAACAACGTTTATGAGAGTCTCTTATAATGGCTATTCTTAAAAGATTTGATGTGTTCGAAAAGATTATATGAGTATATACAAGGTATGTTCAGCATATGAGTGGTGTGTGTGAGTGAGAAGGTTGGCGCATGGTTTCAACTGTCGTTTGGCAGCTGAATTCACACTAATTAGCTAAAAAAATATTCTTGCTTAAATAAGTGACTATAGGCTCCAGATCGCTGCGCGGGCAGAATTATTCTTCACGTGCAGAGGATCTGATTGGTTGGTATAGACCAATCAGCGAGCGAGCTTTGGGGAGACATAAGAAAGCTTCTGTGATCCGTTTCTCCCAAAAGTGCACAAAACTGTCTACATGAAAATAGAGCGATTACAATTTTTTTTGCATTGCTGCGATTTGTAAATTGTCTATAATAACGTAGTAGTGATTAATTAACCAATGAATTCTTGGCGTTGTATGTGGTTTGTATTTGTATGTATGTATGTTCGTGCGTGATAGACTCGCACAATACCCCACCGGAGATTAAATAAATTATAACAAAATTCTTTAATATGTCACGTAGGAGCGATACTTAGAAGGCTAATGTACCCTCCCACATGTTCTAGTAAACAGTGGTTCTGATTGTGAAGTGGATTGCAGACTTTGGTTTGACGATGATGATGCTGGTTGCTGTGGAATTTTGGGTTGCTATCGATCCGGATGAAGTTGTTTGGTGGCTTGCTCAAGATATGCCGGCTTCAAACAGTCGATAGCGATGTTCGACTGGCCGCTGTATATTTGAATGGTAAAATACTTTGGTTGTCATGAAAGTACTTTAAAAGGTCCCGAGTATTTAGGGGTTAGCGAGTTTGTTTTTTACCGCGTCTTGCCTAACGAAGACGTAGTAGCAGTCTTGGAAAGATTTGGGAAGGTAAATCTCCTTAGAGTGTACTCGTGTAGGAGTGAATGATTGTTCCGCCATTTGGTGCTGAAGGTATTGTATAAAGGTAGAGGTTGGCTCTATATTAGTGTTCCTGTCTAGAAATTGACCTGGTAACGTGAGACAAGATCTGCAGGAGTACACTGGAGATCTTCCTTCATCAGGGTTTGTAATGAAAGCATAACTAACGGTAATTTCTCCAGCCAAGTTTGGGCAGTGTCAGAACTTTTTAATGCGGCTTTAAGTTGATAGTGGAACTTCTCGGCAAGACCATTTGCACAAGGGTGATATGCAGTTGTCGATATATGGGTAGCTCCAAGCAAGTTCACGGTCTATCGTTATAATCGAGGGGCAGCCGAAAATGGAAATCCATTCCCGCAATATTGCCTTAGCAACAGATTCTGCCGTAGTGGACTGAAGAAGTATGGCTACTGGCCAACGAGTAAATCTGTCAATTATCGTTATGTATTGTCAGCCTAGAATTTCGGATAATGGACTCACCAAGTTCAAATGAAGATGCTGAAAGCGGACATCAGGTTCTGCGAATCGTCCCGGCGATGATTTAACGTGTCGGTGTACCTTAGTTCGTTGGCATCTGACACAACTCTGGGTCCAGCGTTTAACGTCGGAACTCATTCTAGGCCAAACGAAACGTTCACCTATTAACTTCGTTGTAAATCCGCCGTCCAGAATGCGATAGTGAATGGAAGTGGTCGAATATATGTCTTCTCATGGAAGAAGGAACCAAAGGTCGGAGGTGACATGTACTGGTGTCACGTAATAAATGCCTACTGTTGAAGGACACGGGACGAGAAAAGATGGGTACTGCGAATACACATTTATCAGGGTTAATTTTAAGACCAAAGTGGTTGAGTTGCTCGAGAACTTGAGTTACATAATCAAAGTGTTCGTTCATGTCTTTGCTAGCTATGAGAAGGTCGTCGATGTAGGCGAACAAATTGGGTAATCCGCGAAGGGCTTCATTTATTATCCGCTGGAAAGATTGTGCAGCGTTCCGTAGTCCGAAGGGCATTCGCAAAACCTCGTAGAAACCGAAAGGTGTAGTTATTACAGTTTTATGAATGTCTTAAGGAGCTACCGGAATTTGGCAAAATGCTTTCCGTAGGTAGAGCTTCGTAAATATCTGAGCACCTTGAAGCGTTACTGCAAAGTCTGCTAGGTTTGGCACAGGGTATTTATCAGGCACGGTCTGTGCGTTAAGACGTCAAAAATCTCCACAAGGTCTCCACGCCCCCGATTGTGTCTTAGGCACCATGTGGAGTGGGGAAGCGAAAGGGCTGGATGACGATCGTACAATACCGAAATCTGTTAGACCTGAATTTCAGCCTTCGATAGTTTGTATTTCTCCGGACTTAATCTACGTGAGGATGAGAAAACAGGAGGTCTGGATATCTGAATCTGATGTACAGTTTTGTGTTTGACGGACTCCGTAGAAGTGAAAGGTGTTGTAAACGCAGGAAATTTATCTAAGACGTGCTGTAGCGGGTTGTTCTCAGGAAGTGCGGCACAGATTTTAGTGGATGTATGTGGAAATCATGCCTGTAAGCGTTAGTTGCGTCGTCTGGTCTATTAGGGTGTGGGTAGACATGTCCACGGGGAGCTTGTAGTGAGCTAAGAAGTCGGCCACGAAGATAGGAAATTACACCTGTGCGACGGTGAACATCCACGGGAACGATTGTCTTAAGTCGTTGTTGAGTGTGAGAGAAATCTGGCCATATGTCTCGATCTTGAGATACAGAAAGTCCCTGATTTTTTTTCTAATTTAACCCTGCAAACAAAGTTTTAATGACTTTTTAAAACATAACTAAAGCATTAATTAATGAATCATAATTAGATTTGACACATTTTACGTGTCCTCTTCAAGTAATTTTAAACACATTTAAACATGATGTTTGACGGTTCTGTGCTCATTCTTCTTTTCAGAATTGGGAATTTCGGTGAGGCCACGCAAAGGAAGGGCGCTGGTGTGGAATAACATGGATCGGGACGGTAACTGTGATTCAATGTCTGCTCATGTTGCTAACAGTGTTAGCAATGGAAAAAAGTACATTCTTCAGAGATGGTAAGTAATTAAACAAATCTAGTAGTACTTTCATCATTTTACAAGGATGTAATCACGGCTTATAATGCGATTTTTTATAGCTCATCCATATTTAATTACACATTGAACTATTTTGTTATGATTTTTAATGATGAAAAGAATATGGATCTTCCATACACTTCCCTGGCTGGTAAAATTTTGTAGGACTAGTAAGTTTAATAATTATTCCTTTTTTTACGGTGATGCTCACCCTGTAGTTATTCGATGTAGAGGGTTACAGAATAAGAGACATAGTTTCTAGGGATATGTGGGGAAGATAACAGTTGACCCTATATTTGAACAGTTTAAAATTGTATTAACATGATAACCTTCCAATGGAATAGAAAGTGAATAAGGGCGGTTTGCGACAATGTGCGTGGCATGTTTTAACCGTGAATGATAGAACTGGTGGAACTAAGGAATCTAGTTCATCTGAACACTTTCCATGAAAATAGCAATAGAGCAGCGAGAGGCTTGGGACGTTTCGTCTGTGAGAAAAGGGATTGCAGCGTGGAAAATAATTTTTCACCTACAAGGATGCGGAGGTACTTCTGGACTCTATCGAGAGTGGAAAGTGAAGACTGGCAGCTCCTGTCCATATATGGCATCAGTACTCCATTTTCGTTTTGATTTGGCTCTTGTAAGGAGTTTATCAAGAGTCAGGTACTTACTGTGGCGATACAGGGAACCGATCATTTTTCCAGCATCTTTAGCGATTGATTGTATGTATGAGTTCTAATTGATGGTTGGATTGAGTTTAAGTCCCAATTGGTGTCCAAGGCATGAGGCCTCTCTGTGGGAACACCCGTTCATCGGTGAAAGTTCTGAGTCTGCTTGATGATGATGGAAAGTAACTAGTTTAGTTTTCATGGCATTTCCTCAACTGATCTTACCAGCTACCTTCAGAAAGGGTTTTATAACTGTGAAGACTATTCTAGTGATTCCATAGATAGAGAGCTTTATGCCACATCTTGTTGCAGCAATATTAGTATCAAAAATATTATTAGAAACAATACCAGTAATTGCACTTCTTCCTCAAATTACAGCAGAAAGATGGCCTCCAGACATGGGTAAAGTATATATTTTCTGATTCCTGAACATATTTCCTAAAAGAATCAACAATTGAAATAAACTGGAACAAAGTTGACACAAGCAAAAAGAAAAAGAAACAATTGGGGTTCGATTTCAAAATTTTAAACGTTTTTCCACTTTGGATCACTGATCAAGGTAGTCAAGAATTTTGTGAAGATCATTTGATTATATCTATCATATAGACACATAAAAACCTTACTTGAACATTTTTCGACTACTTGTTAACCCATAATAGACTCTAGAATGGCCTTTCAGTGTTCAAAAATGGCAATATTATAGGGAAAATTTGGCTGAAAATTGCAATTCTACCTCAAATTACACCAGAAAGATGGCCTCCAGACATGGGTAAAGTATATATTTTCTGGTTCCTGAACATATTTCCTACATGAAGCAACAATTGAAATAGTGTCAACAAATCTGAAACTGGAACAAAGTTGACACAAGTAAAAGGGGAAAGAAACAGAGGGGTGTGGCACCTTGCATTATTAGAAATATTCCTAGAAATATGATTTAATTTTTTCTTACTCGGTTACTAAACAGGTTGTTGATTTTTTTTTAAAACGGAAAATAACTGAGTTGAAAATAATTCACTAAGATTGTACTAGACGATCTTAAGGGAAGAAGAAGGAAAGAAAAGAAAAAAAAGAAAAGAAAGAAGAAGAGAGAAAAAGAGTTGTATGATGCATGACCCAATTGAGGGTGGAGATAGGAGTCAGAAAGAGATTTAGGTCAACGTCTTGGCCGATTTTCGAAAGACAATTGGAAGAATAGAATTATAAATAATAAGAAGAAAGAAAGGGAAAAAGACATGATATCAAAACTGGCCGCTGATGTAGACCAGATATCGTCAAAGCATCTGACCGACTTTTGCGTGGAGAGACTCCTTATCAATTTGGTTTAGAACAATAGAAATGAAATTTTTAATCAGAGAAAAGTGTTTTTTGGGTTGAGGGAGTTACCGGTGGAACGATATACAGATCTTGACCTGTTAAGAATTGGACACCCACGTTAATAAAGTAGAGACATTTCAATGTAGATAATTAAGATTTTCGACTATCAGGAAAAACAAAGAGGTAAAAAGAGGGACAATTGCTTTTGGCTCACAGAGGGCGCCAAGAAGGCGGAAAAGATCCTTTCTAAAGTCAAGACTAATTAGCAGCGGGCTGTTTGACAAAGTCCAGGTGAGAGAAAGCCAAAGATTGTCATTTTGCGTACGTGCAAAAGGGAAAAATTGGATTTTGTTTTTTTTAAACAAGAACGATGTAACCACGCCCGCAAACAGAGGGGAGAGGATGTTCGATCAATAACAATTGGTCGAATACGATCACGTGACCTGCGGAAGAAAAGGGAAAGAAATGTTCGACCAATAACAATTGGTCGAATACGATCACGTGACCTGCGGAAGAAAAGGGAAAGAAATGCTCGATCAGGAACGATTGGTTGAAAAGCGGTCACCTGACATACGAGAGACTAAGAGAGATGGATGCGCCGCCCCATCAAAGGTACTGCGAGGAAGTAGGGGCGAAAACAATAGCGATAATGGAGAAGACAGAATTAATGCAGTTTTTGGAATTATCGAGAAAACCCTGACGCCGACAGACCCACCCCAGTTTGTTGCGGCGTCAATAAAAGCAGGGCCCCAATCGACAAAAATCAGTTCATCCCCGGACGGCAGCGAGAAAAGAACCCTCAGACAAGAAGAACTTCCAGCCCAAGTAGATGAAGAAGAAGATTGCCTGAAAGCCTGAGAAGAATTGGAGCTGCAGACAAGCCGAAAGTCGATGAGAAGTTAAAGTTCAGCTCCGGACGGCAGTGAGAAGAGACCACCTCAGACGACAGAGAGTTGCGGCTAAGTTGAAACAAGAAATCTTCCACTAAGTTGAAACAAGAAATCTTCCACCAAGTTGAAACAGGAAAACTACCAGCCCAAGCAGACGAAGAAGAAGAAATACAACTCAAGTCGGAGAGAAGAATCAACTGCGAATGATCGATAGAAATTAGCCCCAGTGTCGAACTGAACCACACCCGACATACATACATGATTCTAGAAAGTAGGTAATTCGACATTTTCTATTGTGTGATAGAAGCTTGGTGCCATAGTCCACAGAGCGGGTCGGGGAAATGAGAACACTTTTGTTTTTATGTAACGGACTTTAAGATATAAAAGGTTGTTACCCTTTTTATCAGCAATTTTGTTTGGTGTCGTGAGTTTTTTATTTTATTTGTGTTTTGCCACCCCCTGTCGGACTCAACTTGTATCGGCCCTGATCCCTGCTGGTCCTGTCTGTCTAAGATCTAAACACACGGAGATCGGTATAGTTGCTTTAGTGACCAGGTATTGGAAGCGAGTCGGGAAAGGCGAGGCTGGTGATCATCTGACCAAAGGGTTGGAGCGGCACGCTTGGACCCAGGAGGAGCGACCAGGAGGAGCGACGTCACCGTTGGCGCCGTAACCAAAGGATCCGACACTGGGCCAGGTGTGTAACCGTCACAGGGGGTTCGATTTCAAAATTTTTGGAATTTTAAACATTTTCCTGATTTGGATCAATGATCTTTTCAAGGTAGTCAAGACTTCCATGAAGTAAATTCATTTGATTATATCTATCATATAGACACACAAAAAACCTTATTTGAACACATTTCAGTCCTTTGCAGACCCATGGACCCTAGAAGAACCTTCTGGGGTTCAAAAAATGGCAATAAAATATGACTGAACATTGCACATATCAAATCAGAACATATATCATCAAATTGCTATCATCCATTAAAGTAATAAGCATCATGAGTTCAAACTGTGTGATCTGTTGATTTTCAAATCGTACACAATTTTGTCCCAATGCATTTTGATGTGACAATCTATGGTAAACATTTTCAATTTGATTGTTGTTGTCGAATTTCCTACTGAGACTTTCCAGTTATGAATATCCTTATTGTTTACCTCTAAGCCTTCCTCAGAATACCCACCATTCATTTCAATCAATTTGGAGCTATGCAATGTACAGTTCAGCAAATCACAGGGAAAGTTATTGGTGATGTTAAGGATTTTTTCCTTGCAGTGCGGATCAAATTTAATAATGTTGATTTTTCTATTACACAAAACTATACAGAGAATAATGCTCAACTGTTTGTGCAGTCTTAACATTGATTCTTTGTGTTTTTACTTGTGCTTCTTATTGAGCAGAATAGAATCAATGACCTTGTTTCCCATCAGTTGATGTACCACCTTTACTTCTTGCAGAATTGATGTAATCTAAGTGCAGACCAGTTTTTTGTTTGATGAAGTCCCTTACCTTATTTTTGAATTTGACAAGGTGATCACATAAACCAGCCTTTTCAACCCATTTCTTGTAATCTGCATGACAATGATACATTTACAAATACCACCTTGTTCCATTTATGTAGGAGTGGGTGATAGTTATGCAATGCTGGTCAGAATCGGAAAGTGGTTGTTGAGTGACACCAGCTCCGGTTCCAAAGTCTCCTGGTCTAATATGGATGTTTTCATCAACATCAAGGACTTCATTGAGTTTGGCATATCTGAAGCTGACCTGCTGATTTTGATCCCATCTAGTATTTTGTTTGGGTCCATACAATCTTTGACCTTGGATATACACATACTAAGACAGAAATCAATTTCGTGAACTTAGGTCTTTCATAAAGTCTGATTACACATGACACAGTAAAATAATCACCACCAACATCAATTGATAAACCATTAGTATATAAATCATTCCATGCATGATCCGTTTCTTAGAGCATGAAGTTGAGGAGGTCAAGATTACTTTTCTACTTCTCTAATCAAATACACACATCTCAATTATCATGCAGAACTGGCTACTTTGTTCTGCCATAAAATCTCTTCTTTACCACCAACATTCTGTGTAGGTTTCAGAGGAATGATATCATGCTGACATATGTGGTCTTCATCATCATTACCATCCTCCACTCTCTTTTTTTTTCAATTTAAGCACTCAGTATCACCAACATCTTTCAAGTAGATGGTCAAACTGTTGAGTGACTGATCTTGAGAATTTTCTTTGACTATCTTGATCGCTGGTGTTGTTTCTGTTACAAGGTTCTTGTAAGTCAAGAACTCTTCTTTTTTTGCCATCCAAAACAGAATATGTTTGAGGTAAAGGAATCATTAGTTGTTTGAAACCCAATGCCTTTTGACCAAGGAAATAACAAACCTGTTTTATCTGCACTTTACTGAGAACCATACAGTGTATGAATGAAACAGCTTCTTAATAGCAAAGAAGGAACCTACAGAGTCACTTTCTTTTCTTTCTCTCTGTACTTCAGGCCTTTCTATCATCAAAAAAACTGAAATTAGAGCAATTTTTCATGTTTTGGGGCTATAATGCCCAAATATGGAAATCTGGTATCAGTCTCAAAAAATATCAAAAAAAAATATTTTCATATAAAAAAATTTAGTTTTGTTGATTTAACTGATATTGTGTTGTCCATACCTTCCTAGAAAACCCTTGATGGGCTTACTATTTTCAACCAAACCAAAATTAGAGCAATTTATGTGTTTTGGGGCAATTATGCTCAAATATGTAAATCCAGTCACAGACCCCACACAATATGAAAAATTCTACTATGTTGATTTCACCAAATTCATGTTGCCTATACACTTCTAACGAGCCCTGATACAACATCATACCATGAATATTTCTCAAATTATTACCAAATATTACCATTATGATCACACTGTGTGGATGAAGAAAAAATCCACAAGTGAAAATTAGTAGATAAACTGAGATGTATTTAATGCTAACATCATTAAGTCTCTAGTTAAAGAGCCAAGAAATAGTAATTATTTAGCCTGTTAAGACAAATACGAGTTTGTTTTCTTTAGTTGTTGAACCTTTCTGTGACAATAATATTGTTCTTTCTGTTCTGAGATTTACCATGATAAGAAATACCTGTTAAAACTGTATTTCATTAATTGGCATGACAAGAAAAGTGACCAATTAATATTTCATTTTTTTTCATGTTGTAAACATGTGTTTATGGCAGACAGAACTGATGAAAACTACCATGTTTTGTCACATTACCATTTCTGAAATGTATCAATATGACTCATTTCACGTGGAATGCATGCAAGGTTTTTGATTAAAATTCTATGTAAAAACTCCTAACCAAAATTCAAAAGAATATGAATTTGTTGATTTGACAACTCATTGTCAGATGTATCATACTTTGAGATTGATATTTCCTTGCATTCAGGGTGAAAAAAAAAAAATGATTTGCAATAAAAACGTGAAATGCATATTACTATAAAAAAAAAAAAAAAAAAATTGTGTTCGTATTCTGAAAGAAGTATCAACTGAATTTGCATGTGCACCTGTGTTTTTGCAAATTTCTGATAGAAATCTCAATAATTTCAGGAATTTTGCTAACAATTAATTTTGTTAAATTTGAAATTTTTTATGCTGATGCTTATTAAAGTTTCACATTCACTGGCATTTTTGAAAACATTCTCTTAACTAAAACTCCATAAACCTTACATAAGTGTTTTATTTCATTCTCATACTATTTTTTGTAGGTATTATTACCAGAGTTTTTACTCCCTTGGAAAGCGCCCACCACCAACAGAAAAACCAAAAAAAAGACTGGTCAGTCAGGCCCGAGTGTCATGTGATGAATATACTCATGGCAGTTGCCGATGGGACGATGAATGGAATCATGATCATCTGATACAATACCATGAAAATAAATTTATCAAAATCTAGAAAAAAACACTACAAATGAATTAACCATTTGTCTATAAAGGAATTTTTTCAGTCTACTTAGGACTACACTGTAATCAAGATTATTTTTAATCAGTTTTCTTGGATAACACAATACTAAACATCTGTACATTTTTATTAATGACATTATTTTCTTTTAGTAATAAACATTTGATGGAAACATTGAATAAAGTAATAATAAAGTATTGTATTTGATGGTGTATAAGATGCACCCCAAATTCAGCAGGGTAAATCAAGAAAAAATTAGTAATTAGTAAAATTATTAGTAAATGGTACAGCTTAGACTATATTTATGAGGTATTATTTTGGTTAAACAAGCCATGATTACAATTAAATGAAAAATAATAGGAAAAAAAGAACATGAACCAATAAAAACTTTATTATATCCAAAGTTAAGAAAACAAAATAAAAATCATGCAATTATTACAATTGAGCAAAACATTACAGTTAACATTAAAATTTTATTCATCTTCAAATCCATAAAATTTGTCATCTTCATTATGAAAACTCTGATATTCATTTTCAATACTACTATCATTGTCATTAAATAATGCATCATTTTGCCTTCCATTGAGAGCATTGCTAATGTCACACTTTTACAAGATTTCACAACAATTTCTGGTCTAATATTATCCCAAGCTTGCTTCACCCATTTGCAGACTTGTGCAATGTTGAGTCTTTTTATTCTGGCCTAGTTTAAAAGTTCTTTTTCAAGCATATATAACAAATTTATGAAACTTTACTATTACGTCAGCAGAGTCATAGTCTGTGCAATTGATGTTTTTGTACATATTGACAAATCTTCCAATTTCATAAAACAATAACACCATCCTTCTGTTTCTATAAAGTCTTGAATCCCCTTTTTGTTCGCTAATCTTCTAGCCTTGTTCCTTAACATTTTCATAGTAACGATTCTGCCTGTACTCCTCTCATTTACAACCCATATTCAATTCAGGTTAGTGTGGTTACAGGTTCTTTTCTTTGCTGCCTGTAAGTTATTTTACTGCAACCGCCAGTAATGTATCATTTTTTCTGTAGGCAGAGGGCCAAAATATTTTGCAGCTGCTCTATTTGCAAGCTCTAGCATAGTTTATTACATGAAGCTTGTATGCAACAGTGTAGCTTAAACTCTTTCTTGCTGTTGTCATAACTGAAGGAGTGAAATACAGTCAAAAGTTTTTCCTTTATATGATTTGTTCAACCTGCATCTTGTAAACATCTTACAAGGAATAATTAGGATATAAAAATTCTGATTGTATTTATACCAATGCAACCAGAAGTTATTGCAAGAAAAATATTAATGAAACAAATATATTTTACAAATATATAAATATGTATTGCATATAATTTTAGTGAAACAAAGTACTAATATTAAACATGAATGAATATTATCAATGATAACACTTTTAATCTGCATAGTAAGCCTTTTAAATAATGACAACAGATATATGAAAGTTACTTTAAAGTCTAAGCTAATAGGGGCTTCCAGGTAACTAATTTCAGCAGACTATTGCGAATTTTATGCAGGCTCTGGAATTTTTAAACATTACTCTCATCACTACTACTGCTGTTACTACTATCATTGTTACTGTTCATGAAACAACTATGTGAAAGAATAATATAAATTTAACATTTTGTTTGCTGCTACATTAATATTGGCAGAACCAAATGCTTTTCTTTCTTTGTGATTATAATTATTACCAGAATTTTATCTTTCTCTGAACTTAATGTACAGCAGCAGTGTCACTAGTTTAATTAAATTTCAAAGTATATTTGCTTAATTTTTAAAATGCCCTTAATCAGTGAAACATTACATTTGTTTTTTAATTAAAATTATTATTGTTTTTCATTGCACTCTTTGTTAGTGTCAATATCATCTTTTCTTTATATAATAATGAGACGCATTCATTATAATTGTCATAATTATATTCATGATGATCATGGTGATGTACCTCTACTATGCAATTCACTCTGATCAAACGCATTTTTCCAACTCTTTCTGAGTAAGTAATTTTTGGTTATAGATCTATGTACACAGTGCTTAAATAGAAAGAACTGACTGAACACTTTTTGTAAACTGAATACCAGCAAGAAACATGAGTGAATCTAATAGCAATGGTGTATCAAATGTCATAATATAAATCCAATGTTTCCATTGTCGTCTTTATTATAAAGAGAAGCATGATGTCACTTGAAGAATTATAAGGAATAATATTTTGAACAGAAAATTTAATTAAAAAAAATGAGTAAAATTTAAAAGATAAATATTACAATTGCTAAAAGAAAAATTCTCAATACTTTAAAGCCTTTTCCTTAAAATACAATTTTTTAATATTATTAGATAATGTTATATGTTAAGATAATTGATGCAGTGAACTAAGTTTGAGGATAAGAAAGGCTTAAAATAGGAACATGATGCTTCTGATTTATGGCTTAAAATAATGAATTACAAATACAACTTCACTTTGGGAAACAGAAAAATAATATAGACAATGGCATTTTTCAAAAAAGTACCTATGCTAAAATGGGTGATTCAAAATTTATTACTATTATTACAATTCTCAATAAAAGTGAGACAATTGGTCAAGGAAACGAGTAATCAGCCTCACTGTGATGGTCGGGGAAGAATCACGACGCATGTGTGCTGTGACAGTATGTACACCCTGCAAACTTTACTAACTCAAGAGCAGCCCATCTGAATCCTGGTGAAAACTACAGTCTAGATAATTTTCAGCAATACTGTAACAGAATAATGTTTGGAATCTCTAATCTTGAATTTCTCAAGTAATATTAGATAGAGTTGGAATTTGATATGGCCAAGAAATCTCAGTTAGAAAAATGGGGAATTTAATGCTAATGTGGCTTGACAGAATCTTCTTTATGTGCTATGTCCTCTCATGGATCCTCACAACTTCATGACCCTTGCAGCTCTTAATAAACTTTGTTATTTCTCTTAAACCCTGTTCCACTATTCATTTACTCAAACTCACTGTTACACATTGTTTTCCTCTATCCCACTTGCTATCTGTCCTTTGAATATCAGATTTTTCAAGCCTCATATGTGCCCCATAAAACTCAACTGTCTCTTCATGATTTTAAGTACAAGTTTCCTTTTTGCTTACATTTTTTTAAAACTTTGTCATTGCTCACATTTGGTCCATGGTATCCTCAACATGCTTCTCTAGAACCACATTTATATTGCTACAAGTCTCTGCTTTATCTTTGAGGAGACTGTCTAGCACATACTGTTATATAGAAGGACAGACATCATGTAACAGTTTAGTACTCTTTTCCTTGTTTCTAGTGAAATTCTTCTATTTCTTAGTGCTCTGCTTAGCTTTTGGAATGCTTCCTTGGCTATCCAAATATGCCTTTAGATTTTAGTGTCACACTTTTTGCCCTCTGTTAAAACAATTCTCAGATATTTAAATTTCTGCACTTGTTTGATTTTGGTATCTCCAATTTGCACTTTGGGGTCATCATTTTTTTAACAACTATGCATTCTTCTTTCAGTTGATGCTTAATCCTTTCTTCTTGCTTTCCTTTACTAACTTCTGTAGAAGTTTTTGTAGCTTTCTTTCTGTATCTGCTATCAACACAGTGTCATCTGCATATCTTATGTTGTTAAGATTGTAGTTGCCAATAATGAATCCTAGTAGGACTTCTAGTTTTCTCAAAATTGCCTCATTGTATAGATTGAATAATAAGTACCATGAGAAGACATCTTACTCCCTTTTCTATTTTTTTATATCTGCTATCTATCTATTTTTTATCCATATGCAGGCAATTTGCTACCAGTATAGGTTCTTGATTATTCTAATATCCACCCCAAGTATATCGAGGTTGTTGGGTAGTTCTAATAGATCTTTGTGGCATACTTTATCAAACACAGGCACATGTTCTTCTGCATTTGTATTGTGCTTCCGGATAACATTCTGTGCATAAATATCAGGTTTCTTATTCCAGTGTCTTTGACAAACCCACACTGTTCCTGTCCTATTTCTGGTCTGATACTGCTGAACACTCTATTCATCAGAATTCAGATAAGTTTTATCATATTGGTCATTAAGCTGAGTGTTCGATAGAGTTCACATTCGTTTGCAGCTGGTTTCTTAGGCAGTGCTATGAAAATATATCTACTTAGGTCTTCTGGTATATCACTTTTCAATTTGTTCTTCTGTACTGCTGTTGGTGCATACACAACTATGATAGATATGTTGAAAGGCTTCCCATTCAGTCTAACCATAATAATTCTTTCAGATAATTGACAGTATTCCAGAAGACATTTCTTCATGTCTTGATCTAGTATTAACCCTACTCCTCTTTCATTTTTGTCACTGCCTGTGTGTATGATCCAGTGTTTGTCATTGACAAAATCTCCATTGTTTGCCCACTGGGTTTTGCAAATGCCTAAGATGCTGCTCATTTCTTGTTTTATATTTTCTGTCCTGGTAGTATAATGCTCTAAGATTCCATTACTTGAGAATTATATTTTGTTTGATGAGAACAGTCACTAGGTGACACCTGTCACTCATGTCTTCCTTTACAGGGTGACAGGTCAATCCCAAGCAGTTTGGAGTCCACTTTATGCCTTTTTCCCCACTCTAGAAATAATAGTGTATGAAATAATGGAAATGCATTTCATTTTCCTCCATTTTCACTTTTAACTAAAAGCATTTCACAATCTACATATATATCATATAGAAAGATATGTTAAAATGAAATTACTGTGCATATGCCACCCATTGAAGAACATTACAAATTTGTTAAAACCCAATACATTAAAGTTATCACTCACACCATTGCATTCATTACTTGCTGTAAAATTCATGGCCTTTCCGACTTACCAAAATCTAACTAAATGACCAAATATAAGAATTTTTTAAAACACGGTAAGTATTTTTAATTTGAATCACAGTTTTTTTAAAATTTAAAACTACATATACAAACTGAAGTTTTTTAAGTTATTTTATGCTTTATTATTTGGATCAGTTTGTTATACTCACAATGTTTCAACTACTCTCCAGGTGTCTGCTATCATACTCAGTAATATTTATAGAATTTGGAATCAAACCCTTTATTCAGTCAATAGTGGTAGATTGTTAATGATAACTGCTCATTTAAAAAATTCTGACATAAATCAATGGTGACAATTTGAGAAAAACTCCACCAAAAACAGCCACAAATAATGAACTATCTCACATTCCTCTGTAGATGTACAGAACTAAACTTAATACAAACTGGTTTAACTATCCTAACATCTAGCTATTCCAGAAGGTCATGAAAAAAGAGCAGGACGTGTCCTGGGAAGAGGAAAAATCTGTTATAGCTGCTGGATGAAAATCAATTACAAAGTGAACTATCTAACCAGATGCAACCATTCCTAGAATAAATAACATTGGAAGTGGATAAAAATAAAATTCAACAGGACTTGGACAAGTCCCACAAGCCAGAATTATAGATGGTCAAGATATGCCAAATACAGAAACTACAGCAGTTGAATTATCACAGTATGATATAAAACAAAAGTCCACTGCCTATAAAAACAGTTGTCAATATCAGTAAACTTGAAGTAAGCAGTGCTTAACAAAGGTTTCAAATTTACAACCATTATCATTATCAGCTTTAAGGATCCCTAAAGATCAAGTGATGACAAAATGAAAAATGAGGCAAGTACTGGAAAATAGCAAGCCTCCTAAATCAAACATCACATTAAAAACAAAATCCTGCAGAACCATACTGCCAGTAAGCAAAGGTAACACAACAGTCATGACAGAAAAGTTGGAATATTCTGCAAATGGGTCAGCCTAGTTGAAGAAAGTAGTTACAGCGAGAAAAAAAAAATCTAACCCTGAAAACAGAGCTGTCACAGATCATGACCAAGAAAAAGGATTATTTCACAATGTATTAATAGACAACTAACCCAACATTACAGTAAGCTATCAAGGATGACCTTCTCAGAATTCACAAAGATAGTATTCTCCTGGGGTCCATAGTTAGTTGTTAGGATTTGGCATGCCACCTGCTAATTAAATTTCTTGTAGATGTAATTACTACACTAACAGGTTGAACCCTTATCAATGTAAAGGCAAAAGAGCCCCAATAATCTATAGAGATGTTGAAATTCTGTGTGTAAACAACATAATTCCAATTGGATTCCAACATATACCTACAGGAACAAGGTTCGGCTATAGTAGCATCATTACATATAATACTTTAAGGAAATGTCTACAGAAATATTACCACTAAAGCCAACTCTGTGGTTTAGATACACAGATGACACCTTCATACACTTGACTCCACCAGGAAAATATGCAAATACTGCTGGACCATGTGAACTTAATAAAACCTTTTATACAGTTCACAATGCAAAAACTCAACTGGTTTTCTGGATAAACTTGCAGAGAGTATTGGTTCAAGACATCTATTCACATGAGAATACCTGAAATTCAATTCCCATTATCCATAGTGTCAAAAATTGGCTGACCACTGACTACAACATCAGACCAAACTAATAATGGAGTAAACCAGAAAGATACTGACAGACATGAGCATCAGTAACACACTTTAAGCATAATATCACCTTCCATGAGCAGGTACAGAAGAATCAAGTACAATAAAAATCAATCACAGTCTACCATACATAAGAGATATATCTGAAAGTGGTTTAGTGGCATATCAACCTTTATGTACACCTGAAAAGATTCGTAGAATCTGCTGTTCATACAACATCAGGACAGAATTAAAAAATTAGTTCAATCATTTGGAGATTTCTCTCCTGAACCGAGCTTGGTTCAAGAGAGAAAAAAAGAAAACATGACTAAGAACTGATCATCCAATACAGTTGTATCAAGAAAGGACCAACTTCTCCTGAAAAGTCAATATGGAGGAACATCAAAAAAGAATCATTGGAATCAGGCATAGCTGGTTATATATGGAAGAAAAAAGTGGTCTTCAACCTCTGTGAAATGTTAAGTTAATAGGCAAAGAGCAACACTGAGGGAGACAATAACTAAAAGAATCAGTGCACATGTTACACACTGAAAACCTCCTCAGTAAACCTAGCATAGAGAAGAATACTATCTGAAAGCATCCAATTCTACCATACAGGCATTAGATTTAAGACTCCAGAATTTCAACACAAGGATGACCAAGTGGCCAAATGAATTAGTTTTGATTAAAGTTCAGTCCCTGGGTCTAGTAGTGCTGAAAAATCACATACTTTGCTTGGAAGAAACAAGACAAGCAACACAAAGATGAATAAGATCAGTGAGTATTAACTGATTAACCTTAAACATGAAAAGTGAACTGAATAAGAGGTTTGATTTTAAATTCCAAGAAGATTACCAAGTAATAATAATAAAGCATACAATTCATCAAATAAACTTTCTGACAATAAACTTCTCATTTTTAAAAATGATCTTAACTAAGAGGCACACTTTATCACACCTTGCTTACTTAAGTCATTAATTTCTACTGTCCCCAACCCTAATACATTTCTAAGAACTTCCTGTGTATGTTGGCCAAGTATAGGTGGAGCAAAGTGTTCTGTAGTGACCACCTGACTCACATAATCAACAGCAGGAGCTGAAAAAAATTTCAAAAAAAGAATAGTTTTTGATTAATATCACATCCACTTCTGTGACAGTTCTTGAAAACATTTCAATAAACATGTACAGTTCTTTCTATTTTACTAATTCTTTATGACAACTACATAAGGGAATTGATGACATATAAAGTCAACAAAATTATTCATAAACCCATCAATTTTGAATATTTTTATCCATTTCTCAGAATCTAATGCCTGCATGATGACAGGTTCTTTTATATGTTAATAAGCACAAAAAAGGAATATAAAACTCAATTTTCAGAATAATAGGTTAAATACAAAAAATTGACAGGTGAATTATGCAAAATAGGAAAAGACAAAATTATTCATACAGTAGGAAATATTGTTTTACATTAATTTGTGTAAGTAATTATTTTATCAGTGAAACATTCCAGACTATTTTTTTAATAAAATATTTGTGATAATTCCAGCAAAGAACATCATGTGATGTATAGTGTCACCATTGTTATTCTTACGTTAACAACACGATGGGGAAGACAAAGGAACTTAGCATTGACTTGAGACAGAGAATTATTAACTTCCACAAGTCGAGAAATAGTTACAGCACTATTTCAAACCAGTTAGCTATCCCTAGATCTATGGTATAGTCCATTATAAAGAAGTTTAAACTGTTGCGCACAAAAGAGAATTTGCCTGGGTATGGAAGAAAACCCAAATTGTCACTGAGAACTGCACAAAAAATGTGTCACAAGGTTAATATAAACCCAAGAGTTGTTTTGAAAGACATTGCTAAAAGTTTGGATACGATGGGTATTGTACTCACACAATACAACATTGTTTAACCTTTGACATAGAATTCTCTCACTTTGCTACTCTAGGTGCATTCTGTCACCTTGAGACGGTTGCTATAATAAACACTTGTCAACTGTTATTTCCAGTGTTTTAAGCTGGAAATCGTCTACTGTTTTGGAACAAGGCTAAACTTCTGTTTTCCAACATCATTTTGAATTCTTCTAGACTCTACATGAGGTGTAACATTGATTAAACCCACATTAATTTTTTCATGATTTTTTGTAAACAAAAATGTCCACATCATTATCCAATAAAACCCTTCTTTCCTTTTTTTATTTGATTAGGACTCCGATGATGATTTTGAAGGCTTTACTTGAGTGGATATTGACAGTGAAATGGTCAAAAATGATAACCACACTAGTAATGTGGAGGAAAGCGACAATGACCACTAGCAGTTACTATCATCCATGACTAATTTTATAGAAGCTACTGGTGACCATCGATATACCTGATAGCCTTTCTGAAGGTAAATTATTTTGTCTATTTATAAACGATGAAATAATAACTTTATTTGTCATCAAGACAAATAAATATGAGTCGGGTGAAAGAAAGAGCAAACAAATGCTAGTGTCTTCTTGTATGTAAACACGAGGAAACATGTCACTTTTTCGATGAAATGAAAGCCTTCTTAGCGATTTTGCTTCTTATTGCACCCCCAGGACTCCACAAAGAGTAATAAAAGTATGTCAAATTATGTATGTATTTTTAAGTATTTGTTTTTTATTTTGTGCTACAATTTTTTTTTCAACGTCAAAACATGCATGCAAAATGCATTACATCAAAATATTACTCAAACATTCTTTTATTAGTATATAAAAATTAAAATCTATGCGCACAATACAAAGAAAGTTTTAACAATTTTAAAACAATAGGTGTTTATGTTTTTGCACCCTAAAAAAATGCACTGGCAGGGGGAACAATTCTAGAAAGAAATTAGCATGGTAAAGGTTAAATAGAAATGGGTTTCTATATGAAACTGACCACGATGAACCGTGTTACATTGTTGAACGGTTTAATTTTGCCAAAATATTCTTTGACAAAGAAAATTGCTTTTGGGAACAGGTATTTGAGTGATGAAACAAAAATTGAGCTTTTTTTTCCTCCCAAAGAACACAGTGGCAACATTAAAACATAGAGGTGGCTTGATGTTTTAGGGTTGTTTTAGCTCAAGGACTGGACAATTAATTGCAATAAGAGGAATAATGAAATCTGCAGACTATATCAAAATTCTGGATGAAAAGCTACAACTATCAGGCAAAATCTTCATTGAGGTCAGCAATTTACTTTCTTGCAAGATAATGATCCCAAACATACATCTAAATCGGTGAATGCGTGGCTTCAGAAAAAGAAGATTACTGTTCTGCCATGGCTTTCAATGAGTCCTGACTTGAATACTATTGAAAATCTATGGCAAAATTGAAAGTTCAAATAAATTGTCAGTAATCAAAAACCTTCAGGAATTATAATGTGTAACCATTGAAGAATGGAAGAAAATCCCAGAAAAGACTTGTTCAAATCTCATCAAAAACTTTAGAAGATGATTACAGCAACTTATAAAGATGAGAGGCCATGTTATTGACTATTAATATTGTGAAAATTGATCAATTTTTTTTCTGTTTTTCATATTGTATGAATAATTTTGTCTTTTCCTATTTTGCATAATTCACCTGTCAATTTTTTTTGTATTTAACCTATTGTTCTGAAAATTGAGTTTTATATTCCTTTTTTGTGCTTATTAACATATAAAAAAAACCTGTCATCATACAAGCATTAGATTCTGAGAAATGGATAAAAATATTTAAAATTGATGGGTGTACAAATAATTTTGTCATCGACTGTATATTCTTTGAATGTTAAAACTGAGAATAGTTTAATAACAGCAAAAAAAAGAAGGAAAATTGAATAAAAAGCTCTGAACAAGACTAGCTCATCAGATGAGAATATTACTCAGAATAAATGATATCTGAAATTCAGACACTCTTACCAATTCTATTATTAATCTATCCTTACTTAACTTTCAGTTGATCCTTACTTAACTTTCAGTTGATTAATGGTATTCTTTAAATATATTTCCACTCTTTGTTTGCATTTCATTTAGTTATTTATTACTTCATACACTATTTCTTGGTAATTTAGTTTATATATTATAACTGGTTTTTGTAAGTTGATATTATTTAGACAATATTTCCTTTGTTTATTCACTAAATTCCTTTTTAATTTACTTTTATACCTGAAATAAATTTTACAAGATATTATTTATAAAAGGCATTTGAATTGTACAATATTTTTTGAACAAAGTTATATTCTGTTTGGTACATTTTATAAAATTCAAGCAATATTATTCTTTTGTGTTGCTTAAGGGAAAAAATTAGAGAGATTACATATAATTAATGAAGAACTAGTTAAAGTTTTCAAAAAAATCATAGCATCATCTTACCAGGAAGGCGAATTTTTCCAATTTGGGGATGTTTCATCTCTTGGATAAGCCCACATTCATGAACCTGAAGAAAAATTTTTATAGTTTCACAATAGTTTTTTTTTATTTCATTTTATATTTTTAGTTATAGTAGTTGACTATACTAAAATCAAAATTTTGTTTTCATACAGAAACAAATATTTGATATAGATATTATGCTGTTTGGAATGTATGTGCAAAGAGATAAAAATGCATTCAAATGAAATTAAAATTCATTAATCAATGATATCATTAACTATGATTAATATTCTAAAGAGATTTTTTCCATTTATCACTGATAACATTTTGTGATAAAATAATAAAAAGTAACTTTAGAGAGCTGAATTGATATCTTCCTTATTTCTAAATATCCTGGTATAAAATAACAAAAAACATGATTGAAACAAATATGCTAAATTTCTGAGGCGAATAAAGAAAACAGTAACCAGCGAGTAAATTCAAGCTCTCCCAACTGGTATTTCAACCTTGAGTCGTTCCTTCTTGAGTTCTGTCTCAAAATCACACTAACTGCCCATTCTCGCCGTCAACCGTGAACATCCCTCAAAGAACTCCCCGACTCGGAAAAAAGTAGTTGCTTTTATAGTTGTTCATATACCCATAATCCCTTGCGTCTTCATGTGATCCCATAATTCATTGCGTCTATGTCCCATAATGCATTGCATCGTTATTGCATAAAAATGCAATGCAAGTCCCCCCTCATTCTTTTATGTTATCTGGCCGAAGATGGATTACGGCATAGTGGTAAGTGCTTTTTTTCTCTCCCTCATTTCAACTGCAGTAGCTTTACATGCTAAGCAAATACGGGCTCTTTTTTGGCGGGGACAAGGCAAGTCGTGACCAGTTGTGCTCGTCCCAGGTTCTGTCGCATGTCCGCCACACTCCCCCCTGATCTCCTGATCACACAGATGACAGTGAGGATATGGTCTTTTGTTCCGGGTGCTCCTCCGAAGGGGGATTGGTTGAACTTCTTCATCAGAGGAGCTCTCATTAGACACGTCCCGATCTAACTACCGCTATCAGAGTGATTGGTTGTTGAATCCAACTCTATGTATATTGGCTGTTCACTATCCTCCGTGTCTTCTTCATCAGTTGTGGGATTTGAGCCCAAAAAAGGGCGCAGGTCTCTAACATGACGAGGCGTTCCATCAACCCACACTGACTGCTGACTCACCACCTCTGTCACACATCCGGTTCCAAATTTGGTCGTGCATTTACCATGTGGAGTCTTAACCCAGACAATGTCCCCTTTCTTGTATTCCCCTTCGGTTATTTGTGATTCAGGCGGGGGCATTGTGTCGATGCCTCTCACCCAGACGTGGTATGTGTGCAGTACATCAGCCGGTGCCGTGGAAGGTGAAAGGTTGTCCTTAGGTGTGACGTTATGCCAGTAAACCGCTTCCAAGACTGAACAATTTTTTCTGGCCGCTATGGTTTTGACGCTTCTGTGGTTGCGTTCCACAATGCCATTTCCAGACGGCACGTAAGCACACCGGAACCTCAAATGCACGCCCCAGCTGTTTACAAATTCCCTAAATTGTCTGCAAGTGAACGTGGTGTCATTGTCAGTCAGTATTTCAGTCGTGAGGGCCTTGTTCGTAGAAGACTGTCTCTAGCTGACGAATGACACCAGCAGAGTCTTGCCGTCTCAGTGGCCGCCATACTGCAAAACGGGAGGGACCACAGTCAATGAACGTAAGAAAATGGCTACCATTGTAATGGGTCACGTCCATTGCTAATCTGTCCCAGTTTTTTCTCACTTAAATTTCCTTTCTTCCAATGCACTGGTGCTGGATCGATCAATTGGCAGGCTTCACAGGTTCTAACAACAGATTTTACCAGTTCCTTAGACACCGTTGGATCTACGGTCCTAGCAAAGTATATTGTTCTTTCAACACCGGGGTGCCCACTCTGCTGGTGGATGTGGGTCACCTGACGTTTGCTCAACTGGCTCGTTGCAGTGGCACAACTCACTTGCACCGGTTCTCCTCCTTTCTTGTGCATCTCCAACCAGCGTTGCGGCACTCTGGTGAGGCTGTCAGCGCGGTTCTGACAAGATTTTACCAACGTCACAGTCATAGTCAGTCGTACTCCTCCACCAAAGCTCGCAGTGTCTCTAAGCAATCCGCCTCATCAGCATTTCACCCGCCGCATTCGTGTTCACGCGCGTCTTTCCTGTCAGGGTGTCAGACACCCACCGATGCACACATGCTGAATCGATGACCACATGCATAACTGGTGCCTGCCACTGCAGGGCAAGATTCACACCCTTGATCACCGCATCAAGCTCAGCAAGATTAATGTGTTTGGCATCATTGGTTGGACGCAACCAGCAAGCATCTTCCACGACGCTCCCATTCACCTCTAGTGCTACTCCCGTAGCCACGGAGCTTGCATTCACCCAAACTGTCATTTCATTGCCGTTCACACACCAGTCTCCGCCGACAGGATCTGATTCCCGCACTCTGGCCACTGTTTCCTCCAGCATACGTCCAAGAGGGGCATCCTTTATCTCGTCGTCCCATCATTTGGTTAGTGTACTTGCATAACGCTTAATAAATGCAGTTACCACCCTAAGCCAACTGCACACAGGGAAATGACCCACGAGTTTCCCGCACAAGGAAAATACGCTTTGGCAGATCACAATTTCTGGAACCTGACCTCCCCGCTTCCATCGAAGAGAGTTGCTTTCTTCCCAGACTTGCAGACCCAGGACCTTAGTTCCATCTCTCAATCGCTCCGGATCTTTACAGACTAGCCCATAATCTGCAAAGTGCTGTCTTACGCGCGCTGCAGAAACTAGGCCTTCATTTATGAAGATATCGTCGACGTATGTCAACGTGGCACTCTTAATGTGTTGATCATGGGACGTTATCATGTCGATCACTGACTTCATGACAAGTGGTGCCACATTCAGGTCAAAACCCAAACGCGTAAGGCAAAACCGCTTGCCCTTAATGACCACTGTTTGAAACGGCCATAGCGATTTGTCAATGTGAATCTGTAGGTACGCATTTCTCAAATGCAACAGCGATACGTCAGCTCCTTGTCGTCACCATTCTCGTAATTTCTGCGCGCACACACCTCTCGGCCAGCCGTGAATGCGTCTACAAAGCCGTTCAACTCCCGATAGTCAAGTACTGGCGGACCTTCTGTTTGTGTTCTTGTACGACCGCCATTAAGGGAATTAATCCTTTGGGTGGGCCAAGCTATTTCGGCATATTGATTCTTCAAAATGGAAGGCAAGGTCTTTGACGTCCGTTTGATTCCAGAATTCAGTGGCGCCCCAACGGATATGCCCATGGATAGAAAATGTGGAATTGGTCTGCGAACTTTGTGCCATGGACAAGATCGAGCACATCTTGCCTCGACGACTTTGAGGCAGTGCCCTTGCTGTGTATAGACAACTCAGTGGAGAGCAGAGGGCAGATGCGGAACAAATTAAACGGTCCCTTATGACTACATATGCGACTGACAGATTTAATGCGTTCGACCAATTTATGGGACGGCGTCTTCGCCCAGGGGAAACTGTGGATGAATTCCTGGCTGAAATGCATCGTTTGGTGCGGCTAATAGGAGAACCGCTACCTGATCGGTGGATGGCATGTGCATTTGTGTCAGGACTGCCACATCATGTTGGGCAAATACGGGCTCTCTTTTGGCGGGGACAAGGCAAGTCACAACCAGTTGTGCTTGTCCCAGGTTCTGTCTCATGTCCGCCACAATTTCCCAGCCAATTGATTTTATTTCCTGGGTTTCTTTTGCTCACTTGTTCTTCCTTTTCACATTATTTCTGGAATATTACACCAATGGCAGCCACAGGTTATTGACAGTAAAAGTCTGTAATAGCTTTTTCAATATCTGGTAGACAATAGGTAGCATTGGTCCATTGTAAATGAAGTCCTAGTCATAGTGTTAGGACTAATTTGACATAGGGAAATGTGCACTGCCCTTTAAATTTTATGTAATAGATAGGATATATGTAAAAAAAAATGTAATGTGATATGTAATAATATTCATTTATTATCTACTGTAACAATCCACTAAAAAAATTTTTCTAATTAATGGTCAACAGCCTGATACAGATGGTTGAACACTACTGTTGATTCTCTGTATAAAGTTTATCAGTGAAATCTATATTACATCCTTCATGCAATTTCCAATTTACTTGGAATTTACATGTAACACTCTGCCCTTGTTCAAATCCTGATTTTGTCTATTTATTTTTATTCAGACACCTACTTGTATCTGAGTTAGTCTTTCATTTTGTGTTATCAAACTAAATACACAATCACAATAATTGTCATTGCCAACACTACACCAAAAAGATTTTTCCAGACAGATAAGAGAGTTAAATCAAATTTTGGGTTTCTATCAAATTTATTTCACTACTACAAACTTTCTTTCAGGGTTTTGAACTTAGTTGCAGAGCATGACATCTTTCAGGAAAGCTATTATGTGAAATAGTGGCTGCTGCCTTTCTTCTTCTTCTTCTATGTGCTGTGTCCCTTTAGAGGGTGGGCGACCATGTCTCTCCTCAAGTTCCTATTCCCTGTAGTTCTTTGCAATATTTGACTTTTACAATCCTACCCATCTTGTTCTGTCATCCATTTACACAAACTCATTAGGTAGGTTACTTACTGTTCTCTCTATACTTCAGTAAATCCTGCAAGCAAAATTTGACAAGCCTTCTTTCCTCATTATGTGTCCTAGAAATTTCAACTGTCTCTTACTGATTCTAAGTATAAGCATCCTTTTTTGCTTCCCTTTCCTTAAAACTTTCTTCTTACTCACATACTTCATTTATGGTATTCTCAGCATACTTTTGTAGGACAACATCTGTTACTTCAAGTCTCCCCTCCTGCATGGAAAATGTCCAGCATTCATTACCATATAGGACTGATATTAGATAGTAGTTGAGTGCTCTTTTCTTTGTTTCTAAATGAATCCTGCTGGTTCTTTTTCATACACTTTGAATGCTATTTCTTTGAACACTCTCTGATTTTGATTCAGAACACCATATCCACC